CTGACCATGCCTTTGTTCCCGCTGGCAGAAAGAAGCAAACAAAAGTAGCCAGAAACCTTTCAGAGGGTCTTCAAGCATAAAAAAAGGGAAACTAAAATAAAGAGTTATCAAGGCAGCCGGGCCTCGCGTGACGCCGCCGAGGCAGGGAGGGGCAGCGTGCCAAGGCAGCGCGCGGGGCTGGGGAAGGAGCTGGGCAGCACGGTGCACGCGTCTCCTCAACCTCGTGGTTCCCAGTGGTTTTATCACTGCCTCCACATCTCTTTTGTGGTTTTGGTCTGTACAGCCCGACGTTTTGCCATGATGCGCTGGGGGCAAGTGCAGGACTTCCCCGGCTCAGCTCGGGAAACCACCGGCTGATGAGGTTCGCTGAGCTGATTAGGCTCAGGGTTTAAAAGCTTTATTAGGACACCTCTGGGAGGGGAAAATGAAGACATCGCTTGAGGCTTGCGAGGGCCAGGGGTCTCGTGCCATTCTTCCCTCCCCCGTCTCCTTTGATGCCATTGTTCATTGCAAAAACAGAGAAGAGAGGAGGCAGAGCGGTCTCTCCCGCAGATTACAGGGCAGCGGGGGCAGTGCAGCCCCCACCCCACGGGCAGGAGCCACGCTGCGCCCAGCCCCAGCCGGCAGCACGCGGCAGCTCTTCCCGGTGCCACCAGCGTGGCTCGTGCCATTCTTCCCTCCCCCGTCTCCTTTGATGCCATTGTTCATTGCAAAAACAGAGAAGAGAGGAGGCAGAGCGGTCTCTCCCGCAGATTACAGGGCAGCGGGGGCAGTGCAGCCCCCACCCCACGGGCAGGAGCCACGCTGCGCCCAGCCCCAGCCGGCAGCACGCGGCAGCTCTTCCCGGTGCCACCAGCGTGGCAAATGTGGCAGGTCACCAGGTCCTAGCAGTGAACGTAAACCCACGGGTCTCTGCAGCACACTCGTCACTCCAAAAAGGACACCCAGTGCCAGTGTCTGCCTGAACCATGACTTCCATATTTCCTATCCATAGTGGCAGGC